GGACTGTGTGCTCGTTTGTCGCCCTATCCTATAAAAAAATCTTAGTAAGGTCAATTTCGGAGTGTTCGCAATAATTGCATAAATTAATTCCTCACTTTCCCTGCCACCATTGGACAACCATCGGCTCGGCCAGTCTTCACCCTTTCGTCCTCGACTTTACCACGCATTCGAACCAAACGATTTTTTATTAATTTTTTATTTTGGTTTTTATTGAAAGTAAGATCGAGCGATGCGAGCTCGGGACTTAGGGCATCCTGACTCGGGAGGTTAGGTTAAAAGATGTTGGGGGTCAAATGAGCGAGCGAAGCGGGCGAATAGACCTCGCCATCTCTTTCGTGGTAATTTTTTATAAATCACTCAAAAGTAGGAGCCCCGCTTTGCGGGGCTCCGTCGACCCGGCTTCTTTCGACTACGCTACGTTGAGTGGATTGATGATTGTGACTAAGATATAGCAATCAAAGATTTCTTCAAGGATAATATAAGTTATTGATTTATTATTGAATATAATATAATATATTATTGAATATAACATTTTGGTCTTTTCCGTAAAATCGAAGATTAAAAAAAACTATCGAAATCGGATGATTTTTCGATTTTCTAGAGCGTTTATGATAACATTTAAAGTCAAAAACTTAGTTAGTTAAAAAATTAATAAAAAAAAACATTTTTCAATGCTTTTTTAAATGTTTTTTTTTTTATGTAGATTAACAATAAAAGTATACAAACTTCACTTCACGCTTTGCAAAAAAGTTATGAACGATTATATTCGAAGAAGTGCGTTTATGATCACATTTAAAGTCATAAAATTATATGAAATCTTGATGTGAGACATTTACATATTTTTTTTTATAAATCCGCCGTTAAGACGAAGATTAAAAAAAATCATCGAAATCCGATGATTTTTCGTTTTTCTGGAGCCATAAAACGAGGTGACCGCGATAGTATAAAATCACCATACATTGTACACAGTTATTCTATCTCATGCTCTCGCAGGCTAAATACTATAGATGTATGTTTGTCTCTTTTTAGTGTCGCTTTTTCGTTTCAAATTTCAAATCACACAGATTCTAAAGAAGTTTTCACTTCAAAAAAAGTCCTAAGTCAATATTACCGTATTTAGTTTATGATGGAATTGCAAAATTAAATTGATTTAAAGGTTGAGATAAGTAATATAGTCTGTTAATATTTTCGTTTCGTAAGATCTAAACTTTAGACGTCTCTGGTCTTTAAAACAAGTGATTTTAATAACTTTTTTATACTTTGGCATCTAAAATCACTTGTTTTAAAGACCAGAGACGTCTTTTCCGTCCAAAGTTATGCTACGTTTCGCGAAAATCACGTACCGAAAACCGACCTCCGTCTACCGCACGTTACGCTCTGAATCAAGTCACTATAACGTCTTTTAACATCTCGGTGGCAATAATCGTCACATATAACTAACTGGTCGTGATTTAACACAAGTGATATAACAGTGACAAAATATCTTAATGACGTTATTAGTTATATTATAATAGCTATATTTATGTGGATGCCTACTCAATATCAATACGTATTACGTATTATCTATCTGTACTGTAAAGTAGGGGTGTCCACTTAAAAAATATATCGATATTTATATTCCATGTAAAAAGTCGGATCTCAGCATCGATGTTTATCGATATATTGCTAGAAAACATCGATATTTTTTCACTATCGAATACTTTCCACAAAAGTTTGATATTTTTACGTGGTAGAGCCATGCTGCAGTTATATCAGATGTATAGTTGTAGCACGAATGGGTCGGCTCGACCGGCGAAGGACCACGCTCTCACAGAATACCAGCGTGAAATAGTAGCTTAATGCTGCTGTATTTCGTATGGTGAGTGTAGAGAACCGGCGACCCATTTTACTGGAAACGAGGCATTCCATCTTAGTCCTCACGGGTGACAACACATCTGCATTTTGATTCGTAATCGAGGATAGATGTAGATGTATATGGGCCACAGCAACCACTTACCATCAGGTGGACTGTGTGCTCGATTGTCACCCTATCCTATAAAAAAAAATTACCTTTTTCTATCTCGTAATTAACCAAAAAAAGAACAAATCAATTAATGTTTATTTTTTTCTATAATTATATTTTGTGTCTGTAGTGTCACATCACTATTGAGTTATTTGTTTAAACAAGTTTAAAAACTAAATGAAAAATACACTAAAGAAATGATTTGATACAATACACGTAAGTAGTGCTACATAACATATCGAATACCTACTTACTTCATTATAATGATATGGCATTTATAAAAAACATACGTACGGAAAACATCGAATAAATTCGATATATCGATGTTAAGTGAATATACCTACTGTAAAGTTATCACTTCACACTTGTCAGACTCGTCAGAAAGTAATTTTTTCAGGTAGGTACTTATATATAAAAAGTACTCTGTGGTATTATTGTTTTGTCTCGATCACTATTTAGAAACTATAGTCAACCAAATCTTAGAAATACATTTCGACAGCTGTCAGATTTATTGCACCAGGCATGCCAATCAAAAAATGGGAACGTACAATATTCAATTCTTTAAAAAATCGATATCGATTATTTAGAGTTGGTAATCATTTAATTTGGTTTGAATAATACCAGAATTAATTTAAAACACAATATTTATCAGTTTCTTCGTATTTGTTGTTACTGCTTGTTTCTAGAGGCACAGTTATAAAAATTTAAGATTGAAACTAGATTGAAAATAAATTTATTCAATCATTTTCAGTAAAACTAGTAGATACGTCGTTGTTTATATTAATTATTATTAGATTTTCAATAATGCAGACAAAATTAATGTCTCTTTCAAAGTCATCCATAATAATTTTGTTTGTTTTTTCTACCACTTTTGACCAATCATCCTTTGTGACATGGGCACATGCTTCAACGAATATTTTTTATAGCATTGTGTGACAAAAGAGCATACGGTCCACCTGATGTTAAGTGGATGCTATGGCCCATAGACATACATATTTATTCTCAATTCAGAATCAAAATGCAAATGCGTTGTCACCCCAGAGGCTTAAGATGGAATGTCTCGATTCCAGTAAAAGGGTTGCCGGTTCTCTACACTCACCATACGAAACACAGCAGCATTACGCTAATATTTTACGCTGGTATTCTGTGAGAGCGTGGTCTTGCCCCGGTTGAGCCGACCCATTCGTGCTACAACTGTAATATAGATGTAGCGTGGCTCTACCACGTACAAAAATTTATTATAGAAGAAACAGTCCAAAAAGTTAAACCGAGTATAACAAAATAAGAAGACAAACAAAAAATCACAAAATTACGCACAGCAAGCTCTGGAAACAGAAACAGAAACTTTTTTATTCAATATTATGAATAATACTTTTGAAAGTCACTTTTTTCATTTACCACTGGTTCGCAAGAAAAACTTTTGTCCTGGGAAGAACCAGCAAGAAACCCAACGGGCCTAGTTTAAAAAAAAAAATAAGAACTTACAATCATGCGTGTTACAATTAACAACACAAAACAAATTAGAAATAGCTTGGTAGCGATCACCCTTCCCAGGAGTTATTATCATCCATAAATCCATATTATTAAAATAACCCTTTTTATACAAACTTAGTTTAATAAAGTTTTTAAATTATGTTTACTTACGTCAAATTTTGTATATTTTCTGGGATTTTGTTGTAAAAGCGTATACATCGCCCCAAAAATGAATTACTGACTGTGGAGTCGAGTAACTGGTACCAAAATGGCGGGATATTGAAATTATGTAGTGGTTATTTTAGCACGGCCTTGTATATGATTTTTTGCCTACACAAATTCACTTTGACAAAGTAAAAAAAATAAACTCGTTTTATTCATGATTCACGTAATTTGAGGAATTTTGAAAATAAAAATTAAATTAAACAAATAATACATTAAAAAAATTAATGATTCGATTATTTGAAAATTTATACCGATTATTTGAATATTTTGCCGATCATTCGCATAACAACGAATTTTAATCATCCAAGCACTACGGTAATATACATGGCGACATATCATTAAAACGACGTCAAGTAAAAAAAGTTAATACTGGTTATTTTTTAATATTTTGCTTTGTTTGAAAAATTCAAATTTAAGTTAGTGATAAAAAACTATACACTTTGTAATGACATATAGATAACTTCATAATTCTTCGGATTTACGTAAAAGGTTATTTTAAATTCTGTGAGTACGCTGGTGCAAAGTTATTGCGAAATGATTAATGTGAAACGTCAAAAGGTATTTCTTAGATTTGGTGGACTTTAAAGGTAGTGATTTTATTAATATGCTCTATGGGTCTATAATTTATATTTATATATCTAAAATAAATATATATATATTTATTTTAGATACATTACGAATACAGATCATTATGATTATGATATTTTTATTGATATTATACGATATTATACCATCTTCGATATCATGTTGTCTACAATTTTTTTTAGAAATAAATTGGTGTAAAAATGAAGATACCTAGGTTTGTTTCTATTTTAATGCCAAATTAAATCCCGCAAGCTACAATACACAACACTTCACTTTTAAATATATTTTTCTATAAACTATACTCATTTTAATGAAATATTGATTTATGAAAACAGTCTTACATAAAAAGGTCTATGAGGGTTTATTTCCACGACCCTATGAAGAAATTTACCTTTTCTGATTACTATACTATCAACGTAAAATAAAATATTGACATTGAAAATTATGTAATATAACAAAAGCCATGGTTTCAAGCTTTATAAATAATGTCTTAGATTTTTTTATTTGTTTACTTTCTTATCGTTATCAGCTAACTCTATTTTAAATCTACTGCCACCATACGCAAATAAATTTCACAAATACATAAAAGAAAATGTCAACGCTCTTCGCTATTTTGTTTTGCTCATTTGGCAGCCATTTTACCTTATCTTGCCTTTCATAACGTTTAATTTATCAAATAAAAAAGAATTCTAATGTAATAAACACGATTAGGTACCTGTTAAAATCATAAAGTTTTGTTTTGATATTCGTTCCTGAAGGTTTTCAGAAAGGTTTTTCCAAATAAGTTGTCAGCAATGATTCACACGCACAAGCAGCCACCATTACGTTTCAATTTTAAATAGTACCAGTATTTGTCACTAGAGGTGTTGTGTGTTTCCTTTTACATATTTGATAGTACATTTTATCAGAACTTTGGTTGTATTAAACAATCATAAAGAATAACGATTTGAAAGTAACAAATTATTTATTATTCTATTTTTTAATTTAATAAACGTTTTATGAAGTAAAAAAAACACAAAAGTTTAATGATTAAAAGTTTATGTCTATGGTAGGACAATTTGGGCGGTAAATTTGATTATCATGTGCAAATTCGAATAACGTAAGTAGTTTTTAGCAATAGTCTTTTATGTTTAGAAAAGAAAATTTTAAGGTACTATGTGTTACCCACTTTTGGGCACTACATACTTTTGTTTTATAATTTTATTTATATCTAGTATGTCATAAGGTGGGTGCAAATTGAAAGAGCGAAATAAAGGAGTATACTTTCTCATATTTATTATTCCAAAGGAAATAAAACAAATCAATCGAAATATTGTTTATTTCTATAAAATTTACAATACTCTTCGCGTTTGCGAATGCAGCTCTATAAGGTACTTTAAAATTTTATCACACAATTTTTACAAGAGAATCAAGGCAAAAATTAAAAACAACTTGATAATTATTTACAAAAAGGCATAATTTTCATACCTTCATATCTGTACAATATCATTATTTTACTCTCACTTTCATGAAATCTTCTAAAATGGCAGTTGTACAGCATCTTCATAAAATGTATCGTTTCTCAAGGGCGTTGATAGTAATTACAACTATTACGTGTAAGCAAGGAAACATAAAATTATAAACTTTGGCTTTTTATTAAAATAGTACTCTTTAAGATATAAAAATTAGGTGTTATTGGCAACTAAATTAGTAAAAGTGCATTTTGAACGAACTTTATGTTATTTTTTAGAAAGAAAGGAATACTTATTACCTTACCTGATAGTGACTAAATATATTTTTTCCTTATTTTTCCTGATGGAATGATGCCACATGCAGCGATGTCAATTTAATTAATTTTGCTTTTTTATAACGAATAGACGCTATTAAGTTTTTCATTGAATATATTAAAATGTATTTTCATTTATTCTGACATGTTTGTTTATTATTTAGTTTGTAATTGTCATTTTTAGCAGATACTATAATTATAAGCTTTTATGGAGAGTTGGTGTTTCAAACGAGGTAAAATAAGAAAAGGCAAATCCTGAATCTTTGTGTGATATAGTTTATAATGATGTCTTTTACTATCATATTGATAAAATATGTACCAAGTTCAATAATAACTCCTGGTCCAATATTTGAACAAAAAATTAAGGTAAAGGTTTGTGCACTTTATGCCTCTATTTTAACGTATGAGTTTGTAACTATTGAGCATGTAACTGCTTGCAATTAAAACCAATTTTAATGAGTTATTCAATATCTTATCGGGATTACTAAATTTGTATTGATGGTGACTGTAATATACATTATAGGCCCTAATAAGATCCCCGACACAGCAGTCTTTCCAATAAATGTTGTATGCAGTTATTCATTAATACAATATAAATGGCCGGTTATAGACCGTATAGTGATTTTTATTCTTTTTTTTATAGATTTATTATACCTCTGATTGTCATGGCTCATACTCTTCCTTTTTAAAGTTTTCAGGTGTTTTCAACTGGTATTTACTGGTTTTTTTGTTAGTACGGCTTATCTTCTTTGTAAATAAGGTTGGTGTTTGCGGATGAGTAGGATACGGGTGTGGGTTGTCATACATAAAAATATACAGGCTAAATTTCTTGCATATGATATCTTGAGTTTGTGCAGTGGTTGTGTTGAAATGAAAGATTGTTGTGTTGACATGTATTTAATGTTTACCATGTAACTACAAGTACCTACATCCCAATGAAAGATCTAGAAATAATAGAAAAAAACTAAAATTATAGTGGTTACATTATCTTAAAGTATTAATAATGCCAGAGTGCAGTTTCGTTTTTGTTTGAGAGTCCATTAGGCATAGTTTCGCGTCTTGACCGTGTTAGCATATCTGGAAATGTATTTAAGTAACTAAGTACTTAAAATACTGTGTTGTTTTAAGTATATGTGATATTGTGGATATATTACATTTTAATGTTTCTAATAGTCTATTGCAAAGAAGAAATAACTGCCATCAATGAATGAAGCTTGTTTAACTTATGGATTTTAATTGGATTCTCTGATAGCAGTTTCATAGTTTCCACCTTCAAATGTCCCAGGAATATAGTCCACTTTATTAAAATCATTTAATATAGCAAATTTAATGAAATTATCACATTCAACCGAAAAATATATTTCTCTGTATGTACATTGAAACACAAAACAGACTGAAAGCTATCACGACATCAATGTACTAACACTAAAACATTTATTTTTTTATTATTTTCATTGGAAAATATTTCTAGAGAAAAAGATATGCATCTAATTACCTGATAACAATGGATTTTATTAAGCTATTTTACGGACTATCCTGTTTATTTTTTGGCTGGCTATAACACTGTAATTTACACTATAGGTTAAAAATAAAGACAATAATTAGTAATTGATAGATTTCCACTAATCTATTTTTATTGTGTAGTGAGTTACTAAATTAACTGGGTTAACACTATCATTTATAAGTATTCAAGTCAAGAATTGAGATGGTAACACAGAACATATGTAAATCGAAGGTTTTTTTATTAGTGATCTTTAATTATTAGTGGAAATCCTCATTGCTATGTTTAGTGCCATTTTAAATAGTAGTATAGACAATCTACCACAAATTCACATCATACAAACATCTATATTTATTCACAATAAAGAAAAAAATAGCGTTATTATATTGTTTAACAATTTGCAGACTAATTCTAAACAATCCTTGTGCAGGCTCAAATACATATATTAAAATTCAGATCGTCGCCATATCATGTTTTTCATTACTTTTAAGAAAAATTTATAGAAAATCTGTACTGACATTATTTTCCCACTAATCGAATATAATTGACATTGCCATAAACTACTAGCCTATAGAGTGCTATACTATTACTTACATTTAGAATTTTTTTTGGTTCTTAATAGATATGGGTAACTTAGCGAAATTCCTTGCGTTAACTCAGTGCACCAACTTCAAGGGCTCGTTGCGTCAACTCAATAGTGCGCCATGGCGCAAAAAAATTTAAACTCATCTGTCAACTAAGCCATCTGTCAAAATAAAACCGTGTTGCCAAAGAAAATGTAGAAAAGAATGATTACCTACATATTATTAGGTAATATGTATCACTCATTTTACAGAGTTGTAGTTTAACACATTTCGAATTTTCCGGTCCTGCGCTGTGCGCCAACACATTTTGAAGAAGTAAATTAAGTTAAAGCAGTTAACTAAGTTAACGCAATTGCGCGGCGCAGTGTTACCCATGTAGAGTTCTTAAAACATTTTTAAGATTTAAATGGTTGAACATAGGGAGTCCATTGCTAGCACAAACACGAAACTCATGCAAAAGTAGTGAAACATGCACACTCCAAGCGTTGTAACACTAGAAACGAAATGAAACTCAAATATTTTCTACATTACAGCATATTATCTTTATTTCATGTACAATTCACAGTTGTCAAGTTTTCGCAACATCCAATGTTTGTAAATTATAGTGAAACGGTCGCAAATTCAGTTTTTTTTTTTCATTCAAAATATATTTTATTTAAATCTTACAATGTGCGGCGTACACAGGGACTTAACAAAGGAAAACTACGTTGATTTTCTTAACGTCACATAGATATAAAATCACAAACTAAACGGTCTAATGAAATAATTACTAAAAATCGGGAAAATCCAGTACCATCCTCAAAACTCTTTAGTTTTTAAAATCTAAAATGTCTACATTGACTTGAACACTAAAAAAAAATTACACCGTAGAGTTTGAAAATGGCACCGTATTAAATGATACAAAACTAAATTCTAACATTACACAAAATAATGGGAATAATGCTTAAACTAAGCCACTAATTATTAAAAAAACAAAATGCATACGCATCAAAACGGAGTTTGGCTCCGTGTCAAAATAAATGAGAAAATAATATTCATAAAAGAAACAAAATCGAAATGGAAATGTAGAATAGTGTTAAACATGAAAATTCTTGTTACTGTGTCTAAGTTAGATTAAAAACTATCTGTTAATGTCTTTATAGGAGTGATCTAGATCACAAAAAATGTAAATTTAAGGAATAATAACGATGTTGCCATTGACAAAAATTATTACCCCTCGATGAGTTTTTCATCACTGGTAACTCAGGTTAGATACATGTTTGCAACACTATAGGAATATATACCACATAAATAGAGCCCTTCAACGATTTGAATTTGTATCTACACAAAATTCTTATTTTTAAATATCCATTTTAAAACAAAATACCTACAATAATAATCAGTATTAAAATAGATGTTTTGTTTTTAAATGGAGTAATTAATAAATTTTTCTAAATACTTCCTCAACAAAGTTAGAGTCGCAAAGCAAAATGACATTTTTTTAAATGAGGTTGCTTATATTATATCTGAGTTTTCACAGGTTTTAAGGAACCAGACATTATTGTTAAGTAACACTGGGTTTTAAAAACACCCATGAAAGTATGGTAACATATTCCTGAATTACTTCAGGTCTTAAAACATACATTCATATGAAGTATGACACGAACTAAAATTTAAAATAGCTACTGTAACCATAAACTTCTACTAAATTATTTTAGATTGTGGCTCTATGTATAGCTAGTATATGACCTAAGGTATTTAGTATATAACTTGGTTTTTTTTTGCAATGGCAATACCAATCCCCCCCGGAAATAAACCCGCACTCGTAGTGTGGCTGTGTGTGTCTGTGTGCCGTCCGTCTTGATATGTGTGTGTGTGTTTGCGCCGCCGCTTCGCCGTTAGCTAGAAAAGCAAATACGTTCAAAATGTGAGTTTGGCATGTCTTGGAAAGGAGCGGCTCAATTCGTAGAAATATGTTTTTGAGGCGACAGACTACAAATCCCTTAATAAAGCAGCAAAGATTTTTTTTACAGTAATCGAATATTAGTATATATAAAGTAGAAGCTGTTACATCGAAAACATTTCCACGATTTGACCGCGTCAAATGTAAATTGTAAGTAATTTAAAAATGTCTGTTTAACTATAAAGAGGAAACAGAAAAATTATAGGCGTTAACAAATAATAAAGGTGATAAAACAAATAGAATTCAACAAAAGAGAAGCAGAAATCAAACGCCTGTGACAAATGTTGATCGGTGAAAAGACATGTATTTGTGGGTGTTCCCTTCTCTCAACACACTTGAAAAATATATACATTAATTATTTGTCATGTTGATATGTAAATTTCTATCTGAAGCGAATCGTTACACCTTACACACGTATAGTAAAATTGACTTAATTAAGACAGGACAAGCGATGTACAGTCGCGCACGACTTTGTCTATACTACGCTTATTTTTACTATAATAACAGCTAACTTAGCCGTTAAGTACAAAGTAAGCGCTTAAAAAGCATATTACGACATCTCACAAAATATATAGCGGCAGTTGTGCACGACTTTACTATATTGTATACAATTATACATATCTACAGCGCAATAAGTCGGGTCTTATAAATTGACATTTCACACAATTATTCATATTTTTCATCACCAAGATATGTGTCTATAAATCACCGAATTGGCGCAATAAATATGTTACGCACTGCGTTTAATTCCACACTTACACACTAAAATTGCAATTATAATAATTTTATCAACTGTAACGTGACACTTGAGTACTTGATTGTACTTTTATTAACTACCGGGCCCAAAATAATGCCTCAAAGTTAAGCTATTTACAATAAAGAATATTTTTTACATGATTACCGATCTCGGCTATATTTTAGAAACTTTGGCTTATCATTTGGCATAGACAAGACAAAAAAAAACAGTCAACAAAATTAAACAGTCATAGAAATATATATACATACAGTCATAGAAACTATGCTCTACTTTCAAATGCTCTAGTGTCAAATGATAATTATTATATTAAAATTTGAACGTACACAACTTAATAAATATTCGTATAGGGTAGATTCTATATAAGAATATCTATATTATAGCAAACACAACGAATTAAATTACGTACGTATGTTTGTATAAAATATCTCATCTTTATTTTTTCTCGTTAAAGTTTAAAAATTTAACCTAAAAAGTTGTAATAAGTCATCTTAGAATCAATATTTTTTATTCTGCTAAAGAGGAGTACGTCCAATTTCTATTGTGCCCTACACGGTTTAATGATCATGAACCAATTGGATATTCATATCAACACACCCGTAACCATGACAGCATAACTAAATTAATTTAACATTTATAAAAGGTTCTCGAAGCAGAAATAAAGATGAAATTTGTGTTTCTATGGTCCCTACTTTTAACTGTTTAAAATAGATTAAACCTTTATTTAACAAATTGTTAAAAATCCATGAAGATGCCGCGAGTAAAATGTCAGTAGAAAATTTCGCAAACAAGACGATAGTTAAAAACTATTTCGAATAAGAGATTTCCTCAGATCTTTGAACAATCGAATGGACAAAGTATTTAATGTCCAAAAATAGTTTATTTTTTTAATATTTCCGCCAAAATATACCAGTTAAACATATACGTTTATTATGATAAAAATAATACATTAATTTATCTACTCCTGCTTTCCTTGATTTCAAGTGTGGAACGAATGCCTTATAAACGTTACAGGCATTTTATATAATAAACAAATAGGTTTGTTTTTGATAATTTTATATTGTTAAATCCTTTAATCTTAATAAAAATCTTATTACGTCATAATATTAGAACGATCATTTGCAAATATAGACGTTTTCGCAAAAAAGGCATAATTGAAATGATTAAATTATTATTGGACAATTTAGGCCGTTACGTAAACTACTATAGACAAAGAAACTACTATTAATATATTACAAATCATACCAAAATGTAGTCATTTGTGCGGGGAGAGAAAAATCCGTTAACAATTAAACGCTACCATATTATAATGTACAATTACGACAAAAAAAAAAACCGACGACTACACTCAATAAAATAACAACATAATAAGCTGGTAACATATTCTTTGGCTTCACGTCACGAGTGCGGCAACACTGCCCGTACGTCAAAAGAGACGAACGGAAAAGAATCGACTTAACATTTGGTCCGACGCCCCTAAACACAATTTACATGTCTTTTTTTTAGAACACTGCGTTTCCTCGTGAATTTTTATAATACACAATTTATAACTAAGTGATCTGTTCTTTGCCTTACTAGTATTCGTGCTCGAGGCCGTTGTTCTCGCCTTCCATGTTCTGTTCTTGGTTCGGATTCAGGTTCTGGTTTTGGTTTTGGTTCTGGTTCTTGTTGGGCGGCTGGCCCTTGCCTTGGCCGATTTGCCGGGACGACGAGAAGCACAGCTTCATGACGAACGGGAATTTCGCACCTGCAATCACGGGAAGAGGTTTTGTTATAGTAAAAAGTTTACGCACTATATGTGACGGCACAAAATATCTATAATTCCCATACTATCCCTCTAGTAGGAAGCCTGTTTTGCTTAGAAGTCCGTTTAGGTGAGAACTATTATCTTAGCTATTCATATCGCCAAATACCAGAACTTACACTGCTGTGGTTCTGGTCTGAAGGTTTTTTTTCTTATAGGATAAGGGTGACGAACGAGCACACAGTCCACCTGATGGTAAGTGGTTGCTGTGGCTCATAGACATCTACATCTATCCTCGATTAAGAATAAAAATGCAGATGCGTTGTCATCCGTGAGGACTAAGATGGAATACCTCGATTCCAGTGGTTCTCTACTGGTTTCACCACACGAAACACAGCGGCGTTAAGCTGCAATATACATATACAATATACACATACAATAATAAAAAATAAAAATATAAATTTCTTCGCAACCTTCCGCCAAACAAATACAATGATGTGTCTTACCTGGATTGAAGAGCACCTCTCGCCCTCCCTCAATTGCATGCACTAACTCCGTCACCACTAATCCCAGCACCACTACTCCCAACACCACTATTCCAGCCAAGACACACCATCGACGATAATACAAGTGTTTCGCCTCTACACGAGGCATCTTCAGGTAATGTAGACTCTACGGCGGCTGACCGCTTAGTCCTAAGTCCAGACTTAGCGGTCAGCCGCCGTAGAGTCTACATTACCTGAAGATGCCTCGTGTAGAGGCGAAACACTTGTCGTATTATCGTCGATGGTGTGTCTTGCCTGGAATAGTGGTGTTGGGAGTAGTGGTGACGGAGTTAGTGCATGCAATTGAGGGAGGGCGGGAGGTGCTCTTCAATCCAGGTAAGACACATCATTGTATTTGTTTGGCGGAAGGTTACGAAGAAATTTATATTTTTATTTTTTATTATAATGGATTTCCGCAAAGTAACGCCTGATTCTATCAATTAACACATACAATATATATGAAAAAAAATATATTTTTTATATATATAAATAAAATTGAAGTGTCTGTCTGTAATACACAAATCCATTGCAGCTTATTAGATTCTCACAGATTGTCTCATGGGTGAGGAGATATTTGCCAATAGTTGACACGCTTGGCAAGCGGATTGGTAACTGGGAGGGAAAGGGCAAGAGGTACGAGAGACGAGGGAAACGTCATATAGAGAATTGTTCGTAGCATTTCATAAGGTCAAAGATTTTAGCTGAGAGATTACCAGCCGTGAGAGCAACGAACGAAGGGCTGTGCGTGTGCGTGGTAAACGCTTTGACAGCTCTGGTGTCATAATACCACAGACTATATAGAGACATAGAGATACTCATAATACGGTCCGTTCTAACTATTAATGCATTCTATATTAACTGTCAACTTGCAACTCATTTCGGAATACTTTTATTAATTCGATTTAATATATTCTGTCGCAATCTATGGGACAGGTCTAGGTTCAACAGTGGGCTTTTATAGGCTGGATGGATAGATGGAAGGCTATTTAGTCAGTATACATATTTATAAAAATGATCTGCCCCGACTTCGAAGATTTTTTGGGTCTCGACAACAGCGCTACCTATGGACTCCAATAGTGAATCTAAACAATTCAGTCACATACACACAGACAGAAGAATTATATATATAAACATAGATAACGTTACACCCACCTGGATGCTGAATGGTGGCGTGATTGCATGCCATTATCGCCATCACGGACTGCGATATATTCGTGAACTCCATGAGACCCGACGATGATCTGAAATGCAAACAACATGAAATATTTAATAAGGCCGAATCTCCTTCATCAACCAATGTAAATCCACTGTTGGACATTTGTCCCACTTAATTTAGCGACGGTTCTCAATAAACCCCAGGATTGGCGATTGCGCCTTTTCGATTTTGTTATTGCCCATCGGGTTTTCACGTGGTGGAGCCACGCTGCAGCTATATTATGGTTACAGCACGAATGGGGAAGGACCACGCTCTCACAGAATACCAGCGTAAAGTAGCAGCTGAATGCTACTGTGTTTCGTATTGTGAATGTAGAGAACCGGAGACCCTTTTTATTGGAAACAAAACATTCCATCTTAGTCCTCACGGATGACAACGCATCTAAATTTTAAAAAGCGTTACATTATGAGAGTGTTTATACATTGCAGAAAAACTATACGTTACCTCTCGCTCTTGAGCGGGAATTTAGAGATGGTGTGGGGTGGAGTGACGCCGTAGTCCTTGAACACCTGCAGCAGCTGCTCGTCCGACACGTCTGGCGGGGTGTTGAAGAAGTGCAGCACCTGCAATAACAACACCTCAATCATCAGCCCACAGCACGCAACTGGACATAGTTTTAAAACTTCTCAAAGTTCAGTCTCTGATAAATATAGGCAACTTTTATGCACAATAAAAAAAATTATTCATTGTTTATTTGTTTTTCTTATTTCTACTCAGTCACTGATAAAGGTATCGGTATCGGTATCGCCGATTATTTACTACCGGGATACTACCTGGGGATGTAACGATACATAATTGTATCGTACCGGCACAATTATGTATCGTTACATCCCTAGTTATTATGACATTACAAAGTCTGTTTGTCAGAAACGTATATTTTATATATTTGTATAGAATGAAAGTCACCCTTATGTTTAATTTACCACCGAGTCGGAAAAGATCTTCGAGTTTTATGCATCCAAGTTTTTATGTGAAGCCGAGCTCAATGACTGAAACATTTAAGTATGCCAGTCTGTGAACAACAATTCACACTATCTTCGCAAACATAGACGTTTTTCTAAAAGCTAGGTTAACTGGAATTATCCACTACCCCATATCGTCCCGTTGGTGTCGTAAAAGATGACAGAAGGTAACTAGGAGATGGGCAGTAAATAAAAAAAAATCAGCGGTCCCCCACCCACCCTCCTAAGCGTTGCTTTTATGAAAAATATCTTAATGATTTTTTTATATTTATGCGAACATTAAACATTTAAATAAAACTAGTTTTTAGGGATTTTATCAAGTGTTTGGGTGGGAACGGTGAGAAATTGCGTGATAAGAGATAAATGTGGTATGCAAGATGATGTTGTGACCAGGATTAAGAAAGGAATGCTTCGGTGGTTTGGTCATGTGGAAAGAATGAATGAGGAAAGAGTGACAAAGCAAATTCATATGGCAGATGTGAATAGCGAGACGCCCTAGAAGAAAGTTTATCGACCAAATCGGCGATATTTTTAAAATGGGCCACATTAGAAGTACCCTTAACCGACGAGCAAGCATGCGTAGATATATGGATGTAAAGGAGGCGAGAGAGGTGTGTCAGGATCGTGCCAAAAGGAAATCCATAGTCTCTGCCTACCCCTCTGGGTGACAGGCGTGAGTGTTTATGTTATGTTATCACGTATGTTAACTTGTTTTATATTCCCGACGTTTGTCGAGATGCTACCATCTGGTTGGGATCCTATAAATAATAAAATGAAATCCCAAACTAACAACTGCAAGATGCAAGACTTCAAAATACTAGGAGTTCATACAGAAGGTACGACCATGGGTGCTGTAAAGTGCTCGAAACGTCGGGAATATAAAATAAGAAATCCTTATGAGACATTATATAGGGGAGACTGATATTCGCAGTGGACTACTATAGGCTATAACAGATGGACGGATGAGAGGCGTTTCAAACACTTTCTCAATTTTGATTTTAACCCACAACCCGCAGCGTTACACCCAAACGCCTGGCCACTGCGTTACCAAGCAGTTTTGACACTAAATCTTTAAAAAAAATCTCACCTTGGATGGAGGCTGTATCCTGTTCTTGTGTATGGACGCGGGCGTTAGGAACCGGTTGTTCTTGTTACCGACGTAGTCCTTGAACGACGGGCTCTTGTCGGGCAGTGGGTACGGGTTCATCACCTCGGAGAGGTACGCTTGTTTCGAAAACCTTTGAGAAATTAAACAAGTGGTAAAATTAAAAAAAATCGGACAACCGATTTCAATAAAAATAAAATGTTAACATCACCAATGTAGTCGAAGTCAATTAAATGCGCATTATTAAAAATAACTCAAAAACTTCTGGTCAGATCTTGATCAAATTTATAAGGGATCACATAAGAAGCACCAGCTTTTATTATTTTTTATTTATTTTTTTAAAAAACGTTACCCCTACACTAAGATTTTCTCTTGTATCGTGGGGGCAGTTTACAAACATAGATTGCACAAGGACAAACATCCAGACCCGGAACAACTATATGTAGGCCATACAAATACTTGTTCCGTGCGGGATTCGAACCCGCGACCCCCAGCGCAGCTACTCATTGCTAAGCCACTGCGCCACGGAGTCGTCAAATAAAAATCATCCAAATCGCTTAATCTAGAAAAAAGTTCAGGGGTAACACCATAGAATACTATAATACACAATAGAATGGATGTCAACCTTATTTTGTACACACATACAAGCAATTACGTAGTATTATCACAACTACCAACCCGATTTGCTGTGTGACAGGCAGTACTTTAATACATATTTATTTGTAAATAGCGTGCAATTTGGCATTTTCTAAATAATTTGCATGCGAAATTTGGAAACGATTGTAACGTCAAAATAAATCTCGTGTTCACATTTATACATGTGAATTGACGTTTAATGGCTACACGGGCTCCGCCCACTCCCCCGTTCTATTATGTATGTAACTATAGTATTCTATGGGTAACACACATAAAAAAACAGTCGAATTGAGAACCTCCTCTTTTATAAATTATAACCGATTGCAACGGTTATAAAGTATTAACAACGAACTACGTAAGCGACTATTATAGGATTAGTAAGCTGAAGTAAGCTGAAGTGGCAATGGGTCAGCCGTATTCATAGCTCGAAAAACTGACAACCGATGGGGAAGTTATTTGTGGATAGATAGAAGGGGGTTATTTATTTATAAATAAATAAATTTGATTAGTTGAGAACCTTCAGGCTGTGCGTGTCATAGCAGTTACCATCACGTCAGCTAAGTGTTATGATAAATTGCTGTGTTCGAATCCCGGGGCGGACCTTTCTCGGAAATTCTCAGTAGCGCTAGTAGTTAGCACCCGGGAGTAGCAACGCATCTGCATTTTAATTCTTAATTGAGAAAAATGTCTATGGACCACATCATCCAGTCAGGTTTACAGAGTGTTCTTTCCTTACAAAACCAACATAAATGTGTAAATATGCCCCATAGCTCAAGCTAAAAGAGTTAAGAAGCTGTTAACTCTCCTAGTAAATTTTTATCACGACCACGTGGTAAACCAACACTTAAAATTACAATCAGCATTTAACAATTTCATTGGTACCCGTAGGGATCAAACTCTGATAAATAAAGATTGGTTTTGATAGGCCATCGTACACAGGACCACGCAGCTTACGACCACTTACGCCAATGTTAATGTGTAGTCGCCAACGGTAACGTTGTTCAAGTTCTGCACGCATCTTTCCACGGAGACCCCGTCTCCCATCTGAACCATTGCAGTGCCCTCCTTCGTCTTCAGGAACTTTATCTGTTTTAAAAATATTAAAATACGTACATAAGTTTAAATAATAAAATTAATAAAAATTGTAATATTAAAATTTAATAAAATTAAATAAAATTGTTTTTAAATTGGGTAATAAGCACAGGCGGTGAATTTTATTTACAGTACGATAGTACTGCTACGTGGAATGGTTTTATTAATCAAGTGTAAGTAAATGCCATCAAAAACAACTTGTAAAAAAACCAAGTCTCGCAACTCAGTTCCTCCACCGTCACCACTACATATTGTATATAAATTAGATTGTTTAGTACGATTGCTAAGTCAATATATTTTTACAGAAATTGTAAAATATTACCGGGATATGGTGTGGATGGTCGATTGTTAAGGGCTGTGCAGTCACTTTCTATGACTGAAAGCTGTGTGAGTCAGGGCTAGTGTTTAGAAGTGAAATAGGGTGTGAATGTGATGGAGAGAGGTATATAAGAGGAATGTGAAATTAAAGGTCTCCGTTTGAATGCTAATAAAACTAAGGTTCTGGTATTTGAAAAGGACGAAGAGAGAATGAAATGTGAAATATGGGTAAATCAGGAATGTCTAGAACAGGTAAATGAAATTGTATACTTGGGGAGTGCTTTCAGCCGGGATGGAAGATGTGATTTAGATGTGGATAGGCGTGTCGCTGCCGGAAACAAAGTCAATGGTGCCCTGAATGCATTGGTCAAAAGGCAAGGCGTGGTGAAGAGTGCACGCCTTGCAATACATAACGCAGTGTTGGTACCGACTTTGTTATATGGCAGCGAAACCTGGGTATGCCAGAAGAAGCATAAAAGCAAGTTGAATGCAGTGGAGATGCGATCTCTTCGTAAAATGTGTGGCGTTACCACAGCCGATCGAAAACGAAGAGATTCGGAATATGGCAGGATTGAAAGATGACCTTATCACAAAAATTGATAGGGGCGTACTCCAATGGTTTGGGCACGTTGAACGAATGAGTGAAGACCGAATGGTGAAGAAAATATATAGAGCGAAAGTAAATATTAAAAGATGTCGAGGTAGACCGAGACTAACTTTCGAAGACCATGTGAGCAAATTGCTCGAAGAAGGGAGGGTCAAGAGTACTCGGATACCTAGACGTGCATGTATGAAGAAGTTAATGAACCTGAAAGAAGCGAAAGAGGTATGTAAGGATCGTGTCACTTTTTTTTTATTTAACATAAGAAAAAAATACATAAAATCACAATTTAAACATCACAAAAACCCTTACGGGTTTGTCTGGATATTGAGACACTTTTGAGCAATCTGTTGACATTAGTTTATACGTATTATTATTTAATAAGAACATCAATTATAGTATTAACAGTATGAAGTATAGGTACATTGTTTACATACAAGTGGACATAAAGGAACCGGTTATAGATAAGCAGCTCGGCACGGCTGGCGGACAGCCGGCTGATGCTACTTGAGTGTGTTATAGACAGGATGTTTCGATTATCGATATGATATTATGTTAGGTTTGATTTCATTAAAATTAGACAACTTGTTATTAAAGTAAAGAATTAGAGTATTGCTTATATTTATTTTTATAGTTTTTGTCCGTTATTCCTAATCTGATTTTAGTAGGTATATCATTAACGAGGGTTGGTATTAAATACGCGTTCGTTCGTTTTCCGTAATAATTTCTAACTCTTGGTAATTCTAGTTTTGATTGAGTTACTTTCCGTGTCATTGTTTTATGATTCACTTTTATTTGTATTTCTTTGTTCGTAAATTGTTCAATTAACAGCCACAATTTTATTTTAATATGAACAGGCAATATCTCACAATATTTAAATAACGCTAATACATCGTCGTCTCCGAAGCAGATTGATTTTTTAATTTTATCAGGTATTATTGTTTTTAAAAGACGAAGTTGTAGGCTGTATATTTTGTCCAAATATGCGAAACTTGGCGATCTGTTCTCTCTGGCTACCCCGTTAGGGATTGTGCGTGAAGATAAGTAAGTAAGTAAGTAAAATATTTTAATTTTTCCTTGATTTATACACTAAACACTAATTGTATTCTAAATTTGAAGGTTCTATGTCTGCTAGAAGTGCCTTAGAGTTTTGATGATCGGTCAGTCAGTGAGTGAAAAAATTAAGAAACTTTGACTAGTTATAATTCTTAAACTACTGGTTCAAATTGAATGAAATTCGAAATATACCGTGTTTATACAATGCCTGCTTGGTTACTGAAAATTCAGGTTTCTAATTTTATCCACAAGGAAATTATATGGGGAGTCGAAAATGGCCTGAATTGCTTCGAGAAATGCTTTTTTGCTCGCCTTGGCGGGGACACTGCCGTGCCCCCAGATATATGTAGTTAAATACTATTAGTTATTTTTGAATGGACTACGCCAGTCACTTTTTTTAAAACGAAAAACTGTCCAAAATATAAATAAAATCAAATTTCTGATAGGTAAACGGTTCTATAGAAGCCCTTAAGATCAAAGAGAAAAAAATTCAAATTTTTAACATTGATTCGTGCCGGTTGATCTTTAATGTCTTGTTTTTGCAAACCGATGTAGTTTCTGACGTTCATAAGTACTGCAAGCAAGACCAAATTGAATAAAAAGCTTTGGATTTAACTAAAAATTAAGGGGATATAGTAACTCAGCTCGAATTCTAATTTCGCCCCCACTTCCCCGTGCGTCGTATGCTATGTACCGACATGTTTGTAATCAATAATACTGTAAGTAGATAGGTCGTTTGATACTTATTTCATTAGGTTTATCATATTTATCCCTGTTTATTTACGCCAACCCAGTCACTTCTTATTTTTATTACGGTTATTTCCCATTTTAATTTTAAGTCGTCCTGTTGCGTAATGTGTATCCTGATCGTAAGTGACACAGCTTCCCCTTCAAAAGCCGAAGCGAGACTAATCAGGCGGTAGGAAACAAGTTTCAAGCCGCCGATAGTTTAGGTAATTTCTTTTTACAGTGAAAATAATGGTAAGTAATTAAAAAAAAATAAAAAAACATAAGCCCTGCTTTATAGTTCAGATAGTATGCAAAGTTTCATGATCTAATTTAAAGTATTTTATGAATAGCAGCGGTTTATTGTTCAGTTTGGAGGTAACTTTGGATTTTTTTTCTGTCGAGAATATTTTACGGAATCGTGTTTTCGTCTAACATAGTACTTAAAATTAATCCTCAACTTTACCATATATTTATTTCAAAATTAATGCTGCAATATTTTCGGCATAACGGAGGATCTTGCTAAGCCATTTGAGGTAGTATTTTTAATATTTCCCCTTAAGATTTAACAAAATTGGTAATTCAATCAGTCTGTGAGGAGACATTCCAATTGAGAACATTTTTCGAGTATGTTACAAATAAAGTACAACTCACTCTAACGACGTTCCCGTAAAGGCAGCACAAGTTGAAGAGCCGGTCGGCGTTAGCAGTTTGCGGGTCAAGCCCGTAGACCATCATTACGGCGCCTTGTTGCGGTGGACCACCCTAGGATGAGAATTGTTCAATTAGTGATCATTGCAAATGAAGTGATTTCCACTTCAAAAATAGGTTCACAAAAATAGGTATTATTTAAGCTAAGGAATTTTACGAAATTGAAATTGGAATTTTACTTCAAATAACGTTAAAGTCATTTTAAAAAACATAAAATTAATAAATAAGTTATAACCTGATTTTGTGGCTGCATAGAAGGATGATGCATCGGTGGCGGAGGTACGAAGCCTTCTCCGCCATATCCTTCAGGGCCGTAACCTCGACCGTCCCGCTGTTATAATTAATACATTTTATAGACAAAATGTGACAAATACCATCAATAAGATCAACATGCTGACGTTAAACATTTGCCCTTCCCTTGTGTAGAACCAATGCTGGCAAAAGAGCGCCATTGTATCGCTTAATGCAAAATTATAATGATCGCTTTTGGGACATTGACATTTTTAATAACCGTGCTAACTCCTTTAGAAGCAAAGTGATTAATAAGCTTATGAGTCTTATTGATTAAAAACTAAATAAAATAAATCGAAATATATCAAAACATAATTTAAATTATATAATTGTTTGAAATCAAAACTAAAATGTGAACAGTTTTTTTTTTGTTTAGTTGTATGTAACTAGATTGTAGTGTTTTAAATATATAGCTGATCTGTTTAAGTAATTTCAACTAATGTTATTTTGTAATATTGCATATTATGTAGTAAGTCCTCCTTCACATCTCTCACTTTTGTAATTTATCCTATAAATTATTATCTGAGGCTGGTGGTGTTGGCTTCACTAAATTCAAATTTTAGGATTAAGATTAGTTACTAAGCCTGTGTTGAAGTTGTTTACTTGTCCTTAAATAATTTAAAAAAAACAATTAGTTAAAGAGGAGTGTTTTGAAAGTAAGGTGGGCGAACAGAATGGTTTCTTTGATAACAGCATAGATAGAGTAATAGTTTTTTTTTTAAATATAATAAGGGTGACAAGCGAGCACACAGTCCACCTCGTGGTAAGTGGATGCTGTGGTCCACTGATTTGACTGATTAACCTGTGAGAACTTAAATCGAATGTCTTTCCAGAAAAAGGGTTTCTCTACACTCATACGAAAAAGTATTAAACTGCTATTTTAAGCCGGTATTCTGTGAGACCCCGGTCGCGCCTACAAATTCGTGCTACAACCTATAAATATAATATAATAATATAGCTGCAGCAAGGCTTTGGTGGTTTGGACGATGGTTTAAAATAGAAGATGTATTTTAATAAATAATAATATACTGACACTTATATAATGTCACTATGTGCATTAAAGTTGCAAACGAAGCCACAGGCTTCTCTCGTATGTTTTTTATAAAGATAAAACCTTAAGTGAAATATGAGTGACTTTTTTTGTCCTGCTGTTGAAACCAGACAAAATGAAATTTGGAATGGGTCGTTAGTGAAAGTAAAAAATATATTTTCATAGTAATTCTAAGAAAATGTAAAAGGATAGGTAAATCTTTTTTTTTATATAGGATAGGATCACAAACGAGCACAGAGCCCACCTAATGGTAAGTGGTTACTGTGGCCCATAGACATCTACATCTATCCTCGATGACGATTCAAAATGCAGATGCGTTGTCATCCGTGAGGACTTAGGTGGAATGCCTCGTTTCCAGTAAAAAGGGACTCCGGTTCTCTACACTCACCATACGGAACACAGCAGCATTAAACTACTATTTTACGCTGGTATTCTGTGAGAGCGTGGTCCTTCCCCGATCGAGCAGACCCATTCGTACTACAACTATACTACTAATATAAATGCAGCATGGCTCTACGACGTAAGTGCGTGCTTTTATAAGTTCAAATAAATATTTCTGAAAGTATTGAAATTAGCCTGACAGTTCATATCTTCAAAAAGCGTTGCTTACCGGATGATGAGGTGGCGGTGGGCCATGTCTTTCCTTCATCATACCAGGTGGCGGGGGGCCACCGCTCCCGAATTCCATGTCTGTAATTAAATGTAAGAAATTTTTAATTATTGGTTATTGACTTTATTATTATTGACAGGAAAATAATACAAAAATCTCATGTTAGCCCCTAACGATCTTTATAATATGGGACTGCTTGAAAGACAAATACATTTTTCTGATCTCACGTGGTTATAATTTTGGGTCCAGTTTTTAAAATCACGTGAAACCATGTAGTAGTGGTCTCTTTAATAAGATTACAGCCATATATATATATATATATATATATATATATATATATATATATATATATATATATATATATATATATATATACACTATATATAAGTATAATATATATTAATTTGCAAGTATAAACAGTTCCAAGCTAAATTATTCTTATAACTAACTTAGCCGACATCACCCTTCCTTTCTTATGTATATCATCCCCAACACAGTCCATCCATCTTTTAGGCCTCCCTCTACTCTTATATCCATTCACTTTCAAAACCAAAATTCTCCATGTTACATGATTTAATTCCGTTTGTATAATATACATACCACGTTAGCCCACTACCTCCCAACTTTTTTGTAAATGGGGCTATTTCAAACTGCCTTTAATAAATCAACATGTGTATTTATCTAATGTCGTCACCACACACATCCATCCATCACAACTATCAAAACACATTTAATTTGTTTTTAATGGAATAAGGTTGAGAATCGAGCACACAGCCCAGCTGATGGTAAGTGTATGCTGAGGTCCATAGACATCTACATCCATCCTCGATTAAGAATCAAAATGCAGATGCGTTGTCACCCAAGAGGACTAAGATGAAATACCTAGTTTCCAGTAAAAAGGGTCTCCGGTTCTCTACACTCATCAGTCATCATACAAAACACAGCAGCATTGAGCTGTTATTTTACGCTGGTATTCTGTGAGAGCGCGATCCTTCATCGGTCGAGTCAACCCATTCGTGCTATAAGCATAATATAGCTGCAGCATGACTCTACCACTTACTTTTCTTTCACAAATACGACAGATATTTATGATCCTCTTATACATTTTTCCTTGTTCCTGTGACCTATCACCGTTACATCCATACCGCACTTATTCTATTGCTTACATCTCTATTTCACCATCATTCTGTTTCAATGTATCGAGGCCGAGGTTCCGAAACTCGTGTCAGACCGAAACCTACTAATTAAATTAAGAAAGCGGTCTAGGTGCAACCCGAAAGGTACACAAGACTAATTATCCAGTGGAAAGAATAAATAATCATCATCATCATCATCATTAAGCCCTAAAATCACGCAACCTCCCCCAAGTAACGCCACAAAGCACGGTCCTGAGCCACCTGCATCGATCGACTTCCTGCATGTCTTACCAGGTCGTCACTCCATCTAGTGAGGGGTCGCCCTACACTAAACCTACCGGTACGAGGCTGCCACTCGAGAACCTTTCTTCCCCATCGGTTATCGGTTCTTCGAGCTATATGGCCGACCCATTGCCACTTCAGCTTACTAATCCGTTGGGCTATGTCGGTTACTCTGGTTTTACTGTGGATATCCTCATTTATGAGTCTATCACGCAGAGAAACTCCGAGCAATAGCCCTCTCCATAGCTCGTTGAGCGACCTTGAGCGTCCTCATACGGCCAGCAGTGAAGAACCACGTCTCAGATCCGTAAGTCATGACTGGCAACACGCACTGGTTGTACAATTTAGTTTTCATAGATTGAGATATACCTGACGAGAAGATGTGTCATAATTTCCCGAACGCTGCCCAGCCAAGTTGAATCCGTCGATTGACCTCTCGGTCGAAGTTGGACTTACCTAGTCGGACTATTTGTCCCAGGTAAACGTACTCGTCAACAACTTCGAGCATAGTGCTCCCAACAACTACCGGCATAGGTGTGACATGGACATTAAACATGATCTTTGTTTTGTCCATGTTCATCTTAAGACCTATCCGTTGGGAGATACTATTGAGGTCATTGAGCATAGTGCTTAAGTCTTCCAGCGATTCCGCCGTAAGGACTATATCGTCGGCAAATCGAAGGTGAGTGATGTACTTGCCATTGATGTTAATACCGTATCCTTTCCAGTCCAGTAGCTTGAAAACGTCTTCCAACGCAGCGGTGAAGAGTTTCGGGGATATAACGTCACACTGTCTTACACCTCTCTACAGTTGGATAGGTTTCGAACTCTGGTTCTGTACTCGGAAACCATCGTAGCCCTACTGTACAAACACTTCAGCACTTCGATATACCGACAGTCAACTTGGCACCGCTGAAGGGACTGTAGCACCGCCCAAATTTCGACGGAATCAAAGGCTTTCTTATAGTCCACATACGCGAGGCAAAGTGGCAGATTGTACTCTTCGGTCTTCTGTACAATCTGCCGGAGGGTATATATGTGGTCTATGGTACTGAAGCCTTTTCGAAAACCGGCTTTTTCGAAAGGCTGGAAGTCGTCGAGTCTGCGTGCGAGACGATTCGTAATGACTCTTGAAATCAGCACGTCGACGCGGCTCAGAAGGGAAATCGGTCTGTAGTTCTTCAAGAGAGCGTTGTCGCCTTTCTTAAAGAACAAAACACCGCACTTCTGCTCCACGCCTCCGGAGTAGTGCCACCATGGAGGACGGAATTGAAGAGCTTCTGAAGGACTTCAAGTACCGGTGTTCCACCCGCTTACAGAAGCTCCGCTGTAATTCCATCCTCGCCTGTGGCCCTGCCGTTTTTAAGGTGCTGGAGAGCCACTCTAATCTCGCTCAGACTGACGTCCGGGATATCATCGGAATAGTGTCGAGTAAGACTTGCTCTTGGATCATTACTCACACTTGCGTGTGGCTCTAACGATAATGTGTACAGCTGCCCATAGAACCTCTCAATCTCACTCAAAATCTCAGGTGTCTCGGAAACGATGCTGCCACACTCAGTCTTCAGCTTTGACAGTTGGCTCCTTCTGGCAGACAGATCTCTGGCAAAGACTTTGGAGCCCTGGTTCCGCTCGATCGCTTCTTTAATACGAGCAGTATTAAAGTTGCGTAAGTCTCGCCGCATGTATTTGGAGATCTGTCTGTTCAGTTACCTGTATGCTGTCAAATCTGTTGACGATTGCAGCCTCATCTCCCGTCTAACAGCCATGAGATTAAGAGTGTAATCGGAGAGTTTTTGTGTTCTTCTGCGGCGGATCTTACAGAACTTAGCTCCGACCGCATGGACAGTTTCCACGAGCTTGTCATTCATATCGTCTACTGCATTGCAATCTTCTAGGCACTGAAAGCGGTTACGTAACTCGAGCTGAAAAGTCTCGGGATTCTGGATTAGAGCACGAGGGGGGACGGAGCGTTGACTTCATTAGACGAGACCTCTCCAACTTAACGTTTAGGTTCAGTGTGTCTCTAACCATTCGGTGATCGCTGCCGGTTTTCACTCTTGCGATCACTGAGACATCACTGAACAGTTGGCGTCTGGTCGTCATAATGAAGTCAATCTCATTTTCTGTCAAAACGTCGGGGCTCGACCAGGTCCACTTCCTGTGGGGCCGCTTTTGGAAGAAAGAGTTCATCATAAAGAGTCCCTCTTTCTCCATAAAGTCAGCCAGCTGCTGGCCCCTACGGTTCCGTTGCCCTACTCCAAATTTCCCTAACTTCAGCTCACCGCCTTCTCTTGTGCCTAGTTTTGCGTTGAAGTCTCCCATCAACACCGTGTAGTGGGTTTTGGAGGAATGCATGGCTCTAGAAATATCCTCATACATTTCCTCCACCATCATCATCATCATCATACATCGGGATGTGCCGAGGTTGGTGCGTAGACCTGTATGACCTTCAGCGAATACCGTTTGGTGATTCTGAGTATCAGAATAAATAATATCTATAATTTATACAATTTTTCATTCGGCACCAAAAACGACTGGACCGATTTTGCTCAAAATTTAATGAGGTCTAAGTTACTTAATTATGCGTTTAATAAAACTGGTCCCATGTCAATATCACTCTTTGTTCTCGAGATACACGAGGCGAAAATTGAATCCGAACATACATAGATACATATGTACATGTGCAAACACGGACATTCTCTTAAAAACTATACTATTCGACTAAGGACCTTGTAACTTCCCATGGAAAATTAATTAATATTTCTTCGTCATTATAAAATATATATACAAAATTTTGAAAAGTATTAATAAGGTTTGGTATAAAAGATTTTTATAAATAAGGACGTCATTTTTCACCAACCAGGTTGAAATGAAAACAAAGAGGCACCTTTGTTCTTTGTCAATTATGTATAAAGTCGGAGAATAAATTTATCAAAAGCTTTTTACAGTGACGTTTCATTAATGGACAAATATTAAAAAAATTATGAAATACAAAAGACAATTAGTTCTGCTTTACATATTCCGTCTCATTACAAAAAGTAGTTTATACTTAGTACCCAGATTTAAACAGTCTATTTCTGAGAAGTCCCATGGAAAATATGCGAGCTAAAATATAAGGAATGAAATTAAAATTTTAAAATTATGAGTTTGGATTTCGAATTTAAATTATGAAATTTGGATCCTTCATGACAAAGACTTCACAGCCGAAACTATCAATAAACAACGGTTTGTAATGAAATCGATTGGGTTCCAAACTATTTATTATATAAACTGCATTCATAATTGAGTAGTTTTGGCGTAAGAGAAACTTCTACCCCATATCATCCGGTGGGTGTCGTGGTAGAGAGTAGAGGTGACAGAGGGAAAATAAATAACAACAGAAATTTGGATCCTGGGATGAAAAATAAAGTTCCTAGACCTTTAACCCAAAAGTTAAAAGCAGAGGCGGAGACCGTTCAGTTATGCAGTCGTTTACCACTTAAAGAATAATGTTGAGGATACCTAATTATTTAATTAAAATAGTTTTGTGTAACTTGATAAAGTATATTTTTAAAATAATAGTGACACTAGAATAAGTGACGATTTAGTAAAAGAAGGATGTTGATGGATGCACGTGGCATTACTTAGGGGAGGCCTGTAATGCCTGTAATGATGATGATGATGACGATGATTATGATGAAATAGTTTTGTGTTATTCTTGTTGGTAAGAAAATTGAGGTGAACATAATTTTAATAAGGAAATCGGCAAAACGAATCTACTCAGTCTCCTCTGCTTTAAAATTCTACCCTGGATTTTTTTATTAATAAATGCAAACATTTCGTTATTATATATTTAATTCAAACGTGTGTCACATTTCAGAACTCGGTAATACAATGCTTTCTTAATAATAGTAGTACATAAAAATACATATAAACGCACTCATTCTTTTAAGTGAGAAGATCATGCAAGGAGTAGACAAGGTTGTTTTGAAAATGAAAGTCTGTAGTCTGAATAATGATTTATTGTAATTGTACGTACATGTAAATTATTATGTTCGAATACATTGTCTCATATACTAAATATACTTTGAGGCCGGTATTGAGAGACAATCTCGAGTTTAAACTCAAGCTCTACTATGTCAAAATTTAAGTTTAGGTCATATTATTTTAGCAAATTTTGATCAATTTTTCTCTGAATACCGGCCTAAAATTGTTGTGTAGAAATCAAGCGATGGATTCTTAGCTTTGGTAGACATTTGTGTTTACGACGTAAAAAGTAATATTGATGATAGTTAAATGTAGTTCTCTTTAAGACTGTGTGTTTTGTATGGTCAACGTGGAGAACCTAACAATATTTTTACTGATAACGAGGCATTTCATCACAGGCCAACGTTCTTTTAATGACTAAGATGAAATGAGTGTTACTTGGCGACAGAAATAAGTATCGGGCGGTATTAAGCCCAGACAGGTACGGTAACAGTGCAAAGGAACTCTAACCACTCAGTTGTTAATAGTTATTTAAAACTTAGTTATAAATAGCTATTAAGTATATAACCTAGTTACCTTTTTATATTTTTGTAGAAAATCTAATTATTTACGTCGATACTCGTAAATTAATTACTATTGTAAATTGTTTAGCATTCAGAATCCGTCACTAAATTCCAATTGTACCAATTGTATGATATTAATAAATAAATTTAGCAAAAGTTATTTCCTTATTGTTATTATTTTGTAAACAGTGTTAAACATGAATAAACGTGTTCATATAGTTGAGTATAGATATTGTTGTAGGCTTGTCGAAGAAGTAAAGATATTTGCACGTGCTGAAATAAAACAAATGCTTAGTATACATTCTGTTAATTAAGGCAAGGATAAAATAGAGCCATCAACAAAAAGCGGATAAGCTAACTTAAGTATTGTTCAACGCAGTCCTTGATACGAAGAACAGATATCTGTTTAAAGTCTGTAATTTCCTTTTGGCAAATGAAGTCGTAAAAAAATATTTAAAGTGCATGTAGGTAAATTAAAACGAAACACCGACGACATAGTCCTTATTTATGATGATAAACAGAACTTGAAACGAAAGGTCGACGCTTGTGAAAGGTCTTAAATGACAAAGATTTGAAAAAATGGAGTTAAAACGCAAAGTTTGAAAATATCTAAGACATGTACTTTGACACTCGGATGGTATAAACAGGTCCAAAATTCGACCAGTATGTATGAAACGATACGTGGTCGGCTCTAAACGAAAAAATACAACAACTTAACGTCACTGAAATGAAAATGCTCCGTTGGATGTGCAGCGTCACACTGCTTGATCGCAAACATAATGAATATATCCGTGCAAGCCTCGGTAGAAGTGAAATAGCTAAGTGCAGCAAGAGATGGTAGAGTTAGTTTAGTAACGTCATTTGAGAATCAGCAGAGAAAGATGACAACAAAGACGTCTGGCCCTCAACTTGGCTGACGCTTCGTTTTCTTATAAGAGCTATTTTGGAGTAAAAAGTGCATGAACGCCCCTTTTTTAAAACAATTTGTTTTTACCAGTTCAACTATTTATGACCCGCATAAAGCTTTTTTCATTTTAAGTCATCCTAAGTTGTTGAATGAATAGTTTTTAACAAAACTGATTTTACATGCACCTCGTAAGTTATAAAACGGATCGTTACGAAGAACGAAACGTTTCTTAAAAATAGGAATAGGGTATAAGTCCGCCTGACCGATGAAGGAACTGATGATCAAACGTCGTCATAAACGACATGGGTAACGACAATCTCTCACTTTAGTAGGCAAAGAGTGAGAGTGAGTTTAGCGTAAGTAAAAAAGAAGAAGAATTAAGTATTGGTATATACAATCATTATTGGGCATTTCTCTGATGAACTTGAAGTGTAGAGTTTAGTTTACAATGCACAGCAAGCGTACGACCATCTTGTTTACCCATACTTTTACATTAATTTATCTACAGTTATAATATAATACACTTTATACAGATCATGCTACAGATTAAATACAGTAGTAGAGTTTTGGTTAAGTAGAGTTTTGGGAGTATAAAAGGAACACTTGACACAATTTCACAACACAAATACAACAGGCGATACAAACCTATATGCGAATGATCACAAGAATGTTGACTGCATGAATCTTCACTGCACGATCTTGCCGACGACTTGGTTGTACAACTTGTAGCATCTGCCGATCAGTGGTCAGATATATCGGGAACGCACACAAACTTATAAATTATACAGTGATTTTATTAAGCGTGTTTTCGCTGCACATACTTGCATATTTATCTCTGTTTAAAATAAGTAAGTAAAGTACCCCTTTGGGTGTGCGCGGCCGGTGTGTTTTTTTTTTTTTTTTTTTTTTTTTTGGCCGGGGGTCCGGGTTACTTTTTTAGTATCAAGTAATTTTTTTCCATAATAAGGGGTAAAATTAGGGTGGGGGGGGGCGGGTTTTGTATGGTGTATCCATAATCTCCATAGATGGGGAAGGAAGATTCTCTAGTAGCAGACCTGTACTGGTAAGCGAAGTACAGGGCGGTCCCGCACTAGATGGTGTGACTACCTGGTAAGCGATTCAAAAAGTAGATGGATGCTAGTGAGTCAGGACCGTAGTTTGTAACATTCCTTGGGGTAGAAATACATTTAGCAGTGGACTTGTAATGATGATGACGTCGAAAATTGGTAAGTATCAAATATAACAGATCTTACAAACCTATCTTTTGTACTTCGTCATCATTTATATATAAGTACATATATTATAATCATCGAGTAACTACGACGTTATCCTTGTCTCTTATAATTTTTTTTATATAACATTATATTTGTGTGCGTTTCTTGTCAGGTTAATCGAGAGCCATGTTAATTATTCCGGAAATTCTTATACATGATGTTAAGTAATTCTATGGCATATGTTTTACATCATTACATAAAGATTCAAGGATAGTGTGTAATATAAATTTTTGTATTGTTTGTACTCAAACATATGGCCTTAGTAGAAACTCTTTAAAAACCAAAGTGTAGGTTCATTTAGAATGATTTTATTATGTTAAACCAGCAATTTGTATTTTTTTAATGTTATAATAGTAAACTATACTAGCGACGCGGTATCACATTATACAGCATGTATTTTAAGCACAGAACCCGACAGAACTATTGAGACCGATATTGACGATTCGAACTAGGCTTGCCAACCATACTTTATAATAACGTATCCTACTTTATTTTTGGTAATTATACTTTTTACTTTTACATAAAAATAAAGTATGCAAAAATACTTTATTTTCAACCTTTACTGTGATGCGTAAAACATATTCATCATGGGTACTTAACGATTTATAATTGCTGAACGAAATGTTACCTATCTTTACGATTCACGCCAACAGCGCCAACAGTGATTACGCTCGCGACCATGGGCAGCGTTAGCGTTGTCATCAACGCGCTTACGGTTGATTCGGAACGGATTATTGGCGCTGACAGCGCTGTTGGTGTGAATCGGAAAGGCCTATTAGATGTCAGATGTCAGTTGTGACGTTTGTCACAGATGTCTCTTACTATCGACGAAATTGTACAAAACTGGTCCGTTAGTTATAAGTGAAGAATGCATTTTAAAGTAAATATTAATGCTGAAAATGACGAGTAATTCTGGTAACGACAGTGACTCCTAAAAAAGCTAAAATAACCGAAGTTTTACAAAAATATAAACCTGAGTGGGAAAAACAATACAACTGGATAACAAGTGATCTTCAGAATAAAAGTAATGCAAAATGTATTGCCTGCGGCGTGAATTTTACAATCAGTTCAGCTGGCATTTTAGCGAAAGATTTTAGCGAAGATAACTGGCTGGTTTTAAAGTGGCTTTCAATACTTCCTAACATGTCTTTAAAAAATGAGGTAAAATTTGAACATTTTGAAATGGTTATTACAAAGGCCAAATTACAAGACAGATTAAATATTAAGATGGACGATGTGTATTCCGAATCTATAAGAAGAAATCCAAAGAAAATTCACTAATGATGATAAAGAATTTTCAGTGAAAAGTACAGTAGAAAAATGGCAATATGTACTTAAAAATGCATCTGATAGCTTACCAAATATAAAAAAAAATATTTCTTATCTACTCTCCATTCCTGCCACTTCAGCTTTCACTGAAAGAGTTTTTCTATAATGAATCTAAAGTGGCGAGGAGAGAAATAGTGCATTAATAAATTTAATTAAAAACGAATTGTTTACGTATTTAAATTTAAAAGTTGATTGTCAAACAAGCTTTGTAATATTTAAAGACAACAAAAAATTGTTAGCATGTGCTAAAAGCACACAAAAATACGTGATTAAAGCAATAAAAACATAAAATTTGCAAAATACTTTTTTTTCTTCCTAATACTTTATTTTTTTCCTATCCAAACCACTTTATACGTTTTTTTTTGTCAAAAAAGTTGGCAACCCTACTTCGAACTGACCGGAACAATTGTTTAAAAGCATACGTGGTCTTTCCTGATAGCTTTTAAAACTATTTCGAGTTTTGAGTTGGCGGAACATAAAGTAAAATAAATACAACACAACAAACAAGTATTGTAACAAATTTTTTGAACCTGTTTACGTAGCCCGCTGTATATAGTGGCGACATGAGAGAATCAACTACCCCATATCCCATGGAGGCCGTGGCCCCATACGGCTGAGGGTTATGAAACAGGAAAAGGGCCTAAGCAGATTTCTGATAACAAATTTTTTATAGCATTGGGTGACAAACGAACATCCACCTGATGGTAAGTGGATGCTGTGGCCGATAGACGTCCCATAGACATTTATCCTCAATTAAGAATCATGCCTCGTTTCTACTAAAAAGGGTCTCCGATTCTCTACACTCACCACAGCAGCGTTACGCTGCTATTTTACGCTGGTATTCTGTGAGAGAGTGGTCCCGTCCCGATCAAGCTGACCCATTCGTGCTGCAACTATAGCTGCAGCGTCGCTCCAAACTGCGGTTGCTTCCTCGTTAGCCAAGTGTGGCAATTATGGAGAATAAGGAAATCTATGAGGAAGACTTATGATCAGCAGTGGAATTTTGATAGCCAATAATAAATGATAATGAATAAAAATATTGGAGAGGCTTTTTCTAAATCGCTACAGAACTTAAAAATTGAATCCAAATACAGTTACGAAAATTATGGTAGTGATGCAACAATATAATACAAATGTGTTGGTCCTACAGATGAAAACAAACGATCGCAGTTGGAAAGCGGATTGTAACTTTGAATGTCCGCCATTACATAAACTCGTATTAAGCCGGTTTAAACACTTTTATGGAAGTTAGAAAGTTTCGTTTATATTGTTTTAAAATGTACTATTGTCATGGTCGTGGTAGCTAGCTAGGTATGCGAGTGAACCGAGTTCGATGCTTATTGCCGCTACTGCCTTTATATATTACAATTTAAGGTTCTGATTTTCAACAAGCTCGGCGGTTTAGGTAAACATCATGAGGAAATCTGACAAATTTAAATAAACATAAATGACTCCACTTTGCTCTAAAACCGTCTCAGGGATAAGAGGCTTAAATAAAAATAAGGTATGTGAGGATAATATGATGCTTAAGATTTGTCGCCCAATAAAACTAAAACTAAGAAGAGGAAAGAGATAAAAACACAACATAACATATTTGAAATAAAGTCAAAACAAGCAAACAAGCTTTGGCAATAATTAGAAACTCCTCGATAAATAAACCTAATAAAAAAAGCATTTAATAATCATATTTACTATAATGTCAAGGGTCAAGCGTCGATAAAGCAGCGCCCTTTTGAACTTTTATTATTTGAAGGACTGATGTAGGGTTATCGTATCACAGAACTGTCTATGCAAACAAGGCTGTAGTTTACGAGTTATAAGAACCATGACCATATCAACCGTAATGTGCAAAAGCTGTTGCTTTCTCACTAGCTGTAGTCAAAGTAAAAATATTTTATTCAATGTTAGATTTTAAAACACACTTTTTTAAAGTCAAGAAAGCTACCCGATAGATTCAACAAATTTCAACTGCAAGAAACTCACAAATAGTCTATTTTTCACCCAACAGTAACAATTTAAATTTATGCGAATTAAATAATCATTAAAAGAGAGAGAGAGAGAGAGAGAAAGAGAGAGAGAGAGTGAGAGCGAGAGAGATAGGGTGAGAAATAACTCGATTTTCACAAATCGGGATGAAAACAATAACTTCCCGATTTTTCGAAAATCATTGATTTTCATAGCGGGAACTTAAAAACGTGTTTTACTCAAAACTTCCTTACTTAAAATATAATTTCTATAGCCAAAATGAAAGCAGTTTGTTTTCAACGCAAAACTGAAATTTCACAACACCATTCGTGACACATAAATTACATTAATCGATGGCAAAATTAAAAAGTATTACAAAGCACCAGGTGCGTGTTGTATATGGCAGCGACAATACAATCCTTTATATTGTGCGTTTACAGGTTTTTATTGCTTAATTTTCATATTCTACGGTAGGGATGTCCGGCATTTGTTAGTCCGAATGGCAATAAAGGCCACAGACTCGCGTTATGTTCTCGAATCATAATTTTAAATGTACAGAGCTACGAGTTGATATTATTCCTATTTGACATTCTTATTTGCATTTATACAACATGGTATGACGGTTTTATCTTTTTTTATAGGATAGGGTGACAAACGAGCACACAGTCCACCTGATGGAAAGTAGTTGCTGTGGCCCATAGACACCTACATCTATCCTCGATTACAAACCAAAATGCAGATGCGTTGTCACCCGTGAGGAATTAGATGGAACGCCTCGTTTCCAGTAAAAAGGGTCTCCGGTTATCTACACTCACCATACGAAACACAGCAGCATTAAGCTACTATTTCACGCTGGTATTCTGTGAGAGCGTGGTCATTCCCAGGTCGAGCCGACCCATTCGTACTACAACTACACTACTAATATAAATGCAGCATGGCTCTACCACGTAAACTTTATCTCGTTCTCTCATCATTTATCTATACTCCTATATATGAATAAAATTTGAAGTGTCGGTCTGCAACATCGAAATAACTGCCTTATATTGAGCTAATGGAGTTATTTGCATGTCATTAACTCGTGAACAACCATTTTAAAATTTTTGTCTGTCTGTCTGTCGAGCAATCTTTATAATCGCAGTGCAGTTGCCTCAGAGAACGTTATAA